TCACATGGTATCAAAGCCCGGTTCAGACTCTGGTTGATTGATAATGGCGGATGGAAAAGAGAAGAAGAATGAAGGTGAGGGCGGAAGCAGGAAGGTAGTTTCACCATACTGCTTGATTGCCAACGACAACTTGGGTGATATAATTACCCAAGTTCAACTGAAATGAGACAATTACGAAGAATGGGCTCGAGCAATGCGAATGGCGCACCAAGCCAAGAAGAAGATTGGCTTTATCGATGGGTCTATATCTCAGCCCACAGATGATTCACCGGAATTGGAAGACTGGTGGACTGTAAACTCCATGTTGGTTTCATGGATCCTCAACACGATAGAGCCAAGCCTGCGTTCTACAATCACATATATGGAGGTTGTGAAAGACCTGTGGGATGACATCAAAAAGCAGTTTTCAGTGGGCAATGGGCCAAGAATACAGCAACTCAAAGCAGATCTCGCGAACAGCAAACAGGTTAGTTTCCCAATCGTGACTTATTATGGCAAACTGAAACAGATATGGGAAGAACTCGCTAATTATGAACAAATTCCGACATGCATTTGTGCAGGCTGCAACTGCAACATCGCTGCGAAGCTAGAGAAGATACGAGAAGAAGAAAGAGTCCATCAATTTCTGATGGGCTTGGACGACGCAGTATATGGAATAGTGTGTTCCAATATTCTGGGCATCGATCCGTTGCCAAACTTGAACAAAGTCTATGCCATGGTGATACAAGAAGAGCGCCTGAGAGCCATGACCCGCGGCAAAGAAGAAAAAAGGGAGGCGATGAGCTTTGCTGTGCAGTCGCAAGTTGGAACAAAAAGAACGGGACATGACACAAAAGAAAAATCTGGAGTGTGCACGAACTGCGGACGAACAGGACATGAAGCAGAGAGTTGTTTTCAACTCATCGGATACCCGGACTGGTGGGGAGACCAGCCGAGATCTACTGGAGGTGGGAAAACACGAGGCCGAGGAACACAAGGCAAAACTGGTCGTGGACATGGAGGCGTACAAAGGGCAAATGCTGCACAAGCGATAGGGCAAGCTTCTGAACCAATCCACGCGACAGAGGGAGATCGTGTAGCATTCAGTGGATTGACTAATGAACAATGGTCCACTTTTCTTAATCTCTTGAATTCTTGCAAACCCAGCACAAATGAGAAGTTGACAGGTATGAATTGGATAATTGACATAGGAGCTTCACACCATATGACCGGGAACTTGAACCACCTGCATGATACCGAGACCGTGACTGGGTGTCCGGTTGGATTGCCCGATGGAAAGCGTGTCATGGCAATAAAGAAAGGGACAGTCATTTTAAATAAGCACATGAAGCTTACTAATATGCTTTATGTTCCTCATTTGAATTGTAACATGATATCTGTGTCGCAATTACTAGAGGAGTCAAATTGTAATATCCAATTCACTAATAAGTTTTGTGTTGTACAGGACCGCACTTCGAGGATGGTGATTGGTGCGGGTGAACTACGCGAAGGGCTCTACTACTTCAAGGGTGCGTGCTCAAGCAAGGTTTACAAGGCAAATGTTGAAGCTTCATATGAGTTATGGCACAAGAGAATGGGTCATCCCTCCGAAAAAGTAATTAAATATCTTCCTGATTTGAACATTAGATGTAGTAGTGGAAATAGGATTTGCGGTGTTTGTTCGAAAGCCAAACAGACAAGAGGTACGTTCGATTCTAGTGAAAATAATGCTAAAGGAATTTTCGACTTGATTCATTGTGATTTATGGGGTCCGTACTCAGTACAGGCGTCTTGTGGTGCCACGTATTTTTTTACTATTGTTGATGACTTCTCAAGAGTCGTTTGGATTTTCTTACTTAATGACAAAAGTGAAGTGGGCAAAACTTTGCGAAATTTCTTCACTATGGTTAAACGCCAATATGATAAATTGGTAAAGATAGTTAGAAGTGACAATGGTACTGAGTTTATATGCTTGAAAGAATATTTTTCTGAGCAAGGTATAATACATCAAACATCATGTGTTGAAACACCGCAACAGAATGGACGTGTCGAGAGAAAACATAGACATATACTGAATGTTGCCAGGGCTCTTAAATTTCAGGCTAATCTCCCTATTGAGTTTTGGGGAGAGTGTGTTATGGCGGCCGGTTATCTGATCAACAGGACCCCTTCCACTCTTCTTTTGGGAAAATCACCGTATGAGATGTTATATGGGCAGAAACCTAGCTACAAGCATATACGAACATTTAGGTGTTTGTGTTATGCACAGAGCCTAAATCGTACCAGGGATAAGTTTGTTAGTAGAGCCAGACGTTGTGTTTTTGTGGGATACCCCTTTGGCAAAAAGGGGTGGAGAGTTTATGACTTGGAGAAAAATGAATACTTTGTTTCTAGGGATGTGGTGTTTTCAGAAACTGAATTTTCATATGCCGTTGATGGAGAAAAAGTCGAACACAATGATAGTCATATCGATTATACCTAGGTGGAGACTGAAGTGTATGACGAGGAAGATTGTGAAAGTAAAAGATGAAGGAGTGATAGTACTAGTGAGGTCATGGATAGCAATGGGGACAGTTGTGAAAATGATGAAGTGGAGCATGATGTAAGGGGGGGTTCCATGGTAGAAATGAATGCAGGGAGTGAGCAACTTGGACGAGGTCATAGAGTGAAGCATCCTCCCACTCATCTCAAGGATTACGTCATACACACAACATGGTGTTCGAACCAAAGTCTGAGCTCTTCTGCTAGTTCATCTCGCCAATCTCACTCCTCAGGTACTCCCTATCCTATAACATGTTATGTGAATTGTGATAAATTTTCTTTGCGACATCGCTCTTTCTTAACAACTGTCACAGCTAGTCATGAGCCACAGGGATATTCAGAGGCTGTCAAGGACTCTTGTTGGAGAGAGGCAATGAGAAAGGAAATTGAAGCTTTAGAAAATAATAGAACCTGGACAGTGGAAGACTTGCCACCAGGGAAAAAGACTCTCGGAAGTAAATGGGTCTACAAGATAAAATACAACTCAGATGGCACAATAGAACGGTACAAGGCGCGTTTGGTGATATTCGGAAATAAACAGGTTGAAGGGATAAATTACAATGAAACGTTTGCACTTGTGGCAAAGATGGTTACAATACGTGCATTCCTTGCAGTTGTTGCGGCTAAAAATTAGGAATTGCATCAGATGGATGTGCATAACGCATTTCTTCATGGAGATCTACGAGAAGAAGTCTATATGAAGATGCCTCCTGGATTTGCTTCAAGATTGCCTAGAAAGGTGTGCAAGCTGCATAAGTCACTTTATGTATTGAAACAGGCCCCTCGTTGCTGGTTTGCTAAACTAACAACAACCTTGAAACAGTATGGTTTTACCCAATCACAATCTGATTACTCTTTGTTTACGCTTTGACGTGGGCAGGTACTGTTAAATATTCTGGTTTACGTGGACGATCTTGTCATCTCTGGAAATAATGGGGATGTCATTTAGATATTCAAGAAGTATCTGAGTCAATGCTTCCACATGAAGGACTTGGGAGTTTTAAAATATTTTTTAGGAGTGGAGGTTGCAAGAAACCAGGAAGGTATTTCTATTTGTCAGCGGAAGTATGCTTTGGATATCATATCAGAAACTGGATTGTTAGGAGTTAAGCCAGCTGGTCTTCCCCTATAACAAAATCATAAATTGGCTCTGGAAGATGGTCCTTTGATGATAAATCCGGAGAGTTACAGGAGGCTAGTGGGTCGTTTGATTTACTTGACCATTACCCGTCATGAGTTGTCCTATTGTGTGCATGTGCTCTCTCAATTTATGTAGACCCTCATGAAGAACACTGGGAGGCGGATTTACGTGTAGTGCGATATTTGAAAGGTAACCCAGGACAGGGAATTTTCCTTCCAGCGGACAGTGATCTTCGATTGTATGCTTACTGTGATTCTGATTGGGT